TCATCAGAGCTTTGAGCTCCTTGCCGGAGCTTTTGCCGGAAAAAAAATGGGAAAAAACAAAGGGGTTTTTTTGGAGGTGGTTGTTTTGGGTTGTTTCTCACGAGCTCGGAGCTCGTTTCGCCGGAGATCATGGCTGTTTGTCGGAGTTTTATAATTGTTGTTTTGGAGGTTTCTTACTAGAGAAGAAAGAGGATGGAGGATTTGTTTAGCGGTTGTTTCCAGTGGTCACTGGTGGTTGTTTGATGAACTGTTGGTCGGAGTTTGGGGGTTGTTCGGTGATGTTAAATGGTGGGTTTTGCGGTGGTGGTTTTGTTTGGTTTCACTGGTTGTTTTGGTCGATTTCAGCAAGGAAGGAGGTGGTTTTCTGGTCGTGGGGTTGTGGGTTCGAAGTTGTTGTTAGCTTCTTCGGCGTTGTGAGTTCGCCGGAGAAGATGATGAGGATGAGAGGAGAAGCTGGACAGCGGGGGTTTGGGGTTGTGTTTGTGGTTTTCTGGCGGCTGTGACTTTGATGGTGGTTTTGGTAGGAGAAGAAGGGAAAACGGGGTCTTAGGTGGTTCGCCGGAAAATGCTCCGGCGAGGCTAGTGGCTGGGAAAGGCAATGAATAGCAAAGAGACCCCTTAAAAATCTGAAAAATTATTAAACCTTATCCCAATTATTTTATCCACTCCCTTTCATTTTTGACCTAATAATTAGTTAAATATAAAAGTGTAAATTCTATCTATGTCATATATTATAGTAATATTTTCAAGCTAGAACAGTAGATTTAGACTTTCAAGTTATAACATTAAAAATTTTAGGTTCTAACAAATAATTTTTAAAAAAAATTGTTTTCAATAATTGAAAAAAGTTGTTTAAATAAAATAAAGAGATAAAAGAAAAACGAAAAAAAAACATTTTTTTAATGAAAACGAGGTAATAAACTGAAATTGTGGTGTTAATTTAATTTGAATTTATTGTAGATAATTAACAAATAGCACGAATTAAGGGATTTAAACTAATTAATATTATTTGGTATCCTTAATTTACTCAAATCAGTTAAAATCAAATAAAAATTCAGATTTTATCTTCTTCTTTTTTCAACGTTTCTCTCTCTTCAATTTGCAACAAAAAAAAATTACAACGTTTCTCTCTTCAATTTTCAACAAAAAAAAATACTCACATTCGAGTAATTGAAGTTTTTTCATTCTTTGAAAATTCTTGATTTTGTTGTGATGGACAACTACGTATCAATTTTAATCAAACATGGTGAAAGATGGGATCCTTCGAGTTAGTATTTATTATTGTTTAACGTTTCTTTTAGAATGATAGCGAAATGAAACAAAAATGATCAAACTGTCGATTAATTGAAGGTGGAGTCATATTTTGTTAACTGTTGATATCATATTATGTTTACTGTTGTGAAATGTAAAAAATTTAGTGTTTTTTTTTGTTTATTTGTCTATTTTGTATATGGTTGTTGTTTTGTAAAATTATAAATTTAATGTGATTTATGAATAAATTTGATAGAATAAAGTAAATGATATTTGTATGAAAGTGTGCTAATTATTCTGTAAAAATAATTTAATTATAATGTTGACGAATTTATGAAAATTTATTTTATTTGATAATGAATTTGATAGTATAAGTCTAGTGAATTATGTATGAAAAGTGTGTTAAGAAATATGTTTAAAAAATTGAAATTCTTGACGAAGTGTATTACAAGTGTTTTAAATTGGTATTAAATGTGAAATTGTTGAGTTTATATTAGTTTTGTTATTTCTGTATAAAGTTGGGTGACGATAGTTAATTATTTGGGACGAGAAATGTATATAGTTTGAATGAATAATCGTTTTGTATGAAATGTGTATTAAATGAGTACGAAAATATATAAATTTGGTATGAATGATGATTGTTGTATGAAATGTGTATTAAGTGAGTATTAAATGTGAAATATTATGTTTTGTATGAAATTTGTTTTGTAATGTATTGTCTGAATGATATTTGTATGAAAAAATAATGACGAGTGTGTATAATTTTGTTGTTATTATAATGATTTTTATGGATGAAATTTGTATTGTCTTTGGAATGAAAAGTTAATATTATTTAACATATTTCTAATTGATTTGTATAATGTTAGACTAATTGTTATTTTTTTAATGAAACAGAGAATTATGTTGATTTTCAAATGAAATGAATTATATATGAAAGAGGGTTGCTGATGTGAAATTCAAAAGATCCAAAGTTACTTGAAGTAGATGGTGTCAAGTTGGCCAAAACATGAAGCATGTTCAAATTATCCTATGCAAAACTAATGACTGTTTATTTGTTTAGACTATATATAATTTTTATTTTATTTTGTCGTTTAGATTAATGTTTTGTTTTGATATGAAACATAATTGGTTTGAAGTGCATTATAAACTTAGTGTTTAATATACCGTTCATTCTTTATACACGGTTCATTCATTAAACATATAGATTGCATACTGTTAAAAATAAAATCTATTCCAACTTAATGCAGAAGATAATGTAAATATTAGTGATAATTATAAAAGGTAATTACGGTATCCTGAGTATTTAATTTAATGTAAGTTTACATGAATATTAATTTGGTTTTTCAACTGGTGTCCTACTATAAATAAATTTAAAACAAATTGCAGTTAGTGTTTCATTCCCACACTAACTTCAGTTAGTGTCATACACATATTAATCAAAATTTCATACACGTTTTATCCAAACAACATGTATAAAAATTGATAAATTCATATAATCACACAATTTATACCATTTGTATATCAATATTATATCACAATTCATACAATATCCAACAATAAAATATTAAACTCATAGGCATATACGTATTAATCAAATTTCATACATGTTTCATCCAAAAACATGTTTAGAATATAAAGTAAGCATAATGTGATTTTTTTTAGAAAAAATCAATAGTTTGACAAATCATACTATTTTCATACCAATTTAATAATTTATACCATAAACACAGTTAATAGACAATCACACCAATGTTAAAATGCAATTCATACCATTTGTATACCATTATTATATCACAATTCATAAAATTTTCAAAATCAAAACCTTAAAGCGTAATCATACACATATTAATCAGATTCATCCAATAAATGTACAGTTTGGAAACACACTGATATTTTCAAAATAGTATCTTGAAATTGTAATAGGCAATCAGTAATTCATATGTAAACGGTATCTGCCTGAAAGAAAACATATGATATTATATATCATCAAATACTTAAACACAAAAAAATTGTCCAAAAGTAAAAAAAAAA